TTATTATTTTGAATTTCTGATGGTTAAATTAATCTACTTCATTGCACTAACTCACTTTTTCCAGTTCAATCAACTTAAAATTTTAAGGCAACCCAGGTTACTTACTTTTTTAAGTTAAACCAACAATATTTTTTACAGTGTAGTAATCACAACATTTTTTCTTTCGTCAGATCAACTTAAATAATTTATTTAGTTCAGATAACATATAATTTTGAGTTTCTGATGGTTAAATTAATCTCCTTCATTGTATTAACTCACTTTTTCCAGTTCAATGAACTTAAAATTTTAATGCAACCAGGCCACTTACTTTTTTTAAGTTAAACCATCAATATTTTTTTACAGTGTTATTATGCATGCCTATGAAATCATTAGGCTATAATTGCACTTTTAAAAATTAAACGTACATTATTGTGAAATATGTGACTTGACATCCATATTTATGATCATTTAGCAAACAATATAAAACAATATGTAATAAAAATCAGTGCATTAGACACATAAAAATGTGTTGAATTGAATTTTATTGTGTTTTCATAATTACGTTTATTTTAGATTTTGCACACTTGGATCATTTGTTGATTCGTGTATTTAATCAGAGGAATTGGAAATTATCACTTCATAATAATAATGCGTCGCGCGCGCGTTCCTTCCATTAAACGTGGCGCGTTATTGCAGTAATTCATCACGCCGATCATGAACGCATGCAGGCTTATTTCCATCTGGCTTCTTTCAAGAGCGATGACTTTCAGTAAACAAGTGCACAATCGATCACTGCAGAGCATTAAGGGCCCTAATCGGGCCAGCAGGAGCTCTGTGGGGTGGATCTTCGACTGGACTGTAATGGTTTGTTATGACCTTTCCGCGTTTCCATTAGTCTCGCTGTTATTTAACAAGGAGGTTTTGATTTAACCCCGCGTATATTGGCCAAGAGGAGTCACTGGATTCCTTTACAAACAAAAGGCCAAAGACACTTCAGTCTGCGCTGCTCGTGTAAACTCAAGGGTTTTAAGGGGCATCTTGAGCCTATTAGCATCGACGATAATAAAAATCTATACTGACAGCCTTATTGGTGCATAATATCATTTCTGCTTTGCTTGATTCAGAGTAAATATAGGCCTAGTGTGCGTTCATTTCATTATATCATAAAATTGTACCATTGGACATCCTGCTATGACATAGGTTAAAAAACCATTAGGCATTATAATAAAGAGATTGTAGTTATTGTGTCTATAAAATGTCTGTTTTGTCTTCGCTTTGTGTCTAGAAAAACATCCTCACTGAAGCAGAATGAGCACCATTTTCCTCTCTAAATGCATTTATGTTTATTATATACAGGAGGAAATGTAATGAAAAAATATAGCCCTATATGAAATAGATTTTTTACGGCGCTCTTAAATATCGCTAAGTCGCGTTTGCGTGAAAAGTCGTGAGTGGAAACGCATACATGAGGAAGAAAAAAAATATAGCCATATATATATGGCTATATATTTTTTCTTATTATTATGATTATGATATATATATGAATAAATATGGAGAGAAAAAAATTAGGGTATACGGCACTTTTATTCAGAGAGCAGTAAATATCGCTAACACGAAGATCGCGAAATCGCGTTTGCGTGATCTGAGGCCGTTTGAGCGCTTTCTGTAGCCTATTTATATGCCTATTTAGGGGGGAAAGGCTATTGGACATTTACATTATTTTTTTAAAACATTAAGATTTTAAATATTTTTGATGTTTTGCTAAGGTCACAAAAATAATTCACGACGAGACGAAATGTAAAGTCATAAGCTCGCACACTGCTCAAGTAGGCTAGGCCTATAGCTAGGCTAGTAGTTCTTGGCCTTGGTTTAAACTATTTATAAAAATCAAATAGGCCTATATATAGTTTTGATAAGGTGCTATTACACCTGTTGACCATCATAAAGATCAATTACATCATTCGCGATCTTCAATGACATTTTCCTTAACGAAGCGTTTAGGACTGTAGGCTATTTGCACGACCTTTCCTTTTCTGAAATGTATGAAACATTATCCGGTGAACAGAAATGAGTCTGTGATAGCCTAGTGACTTCTAGCCTATATTTTTATGCGCTGCTTCACTAATATTATTAGGCTACCGAACGATTTCCATCCTGTTAAGGGTGCGTTTAAAAAAGCAATTAATAATCCGTGACAAATGTTTCCCGAGGCTGTCAAATACCCCCAAATGAACCGCAGAGAGCTGGCTAGATCGCCATTGAACTCTCAGGACAGTGATTGCATCAACCAGGGGGAATTTGGGAAAAACAAACCAATTCCACAAGGTCCCCAAACTTTCCCAGGATCGGCATTTAACGATTATGATATTTTACTAATGTCTTAATGTTTCCGGCATGACGGGCCCTGTCACTGCTAACAGACAGATGCTCCTGATGGGGGGTCCAGAAATAAAGTCATTCCCAAAGGATATGATATTATCGGGAAGAAAGTTCCTATTCCCAGATCAAATCACTAAAGTGATTAAGGCAAGTAGCCGATAATGTTTTATCTAACCACGACAGACGTGCAATGGGAACGGGATGATTTCTGGTGTTGAATCACTGGTTTAATTGCTACAGCAGATGACTGTGTGCTTTCAACACGGATATATTTATCACAATACAGGCGTAGATATAGATAGGAATGCAGATATGGATATGGACAATAAAGATATCCGGAAGCTCTGGGTTGAACCTGTTTTCTTCCGTATAGACAGTGCATTGTAGACCGAAACTTTCATCCTGGATCTCTTGACCCGAGCACGATATTATTTCATTAAACTCAATTTGTAGTTTTTTTTTTTTTTTTTTTTACATAAATAATATAGCCACTCGTATTTTTTTTATAAAGCTTCAAAAACATAAAAGAAAAGGAGAAGCAAATATGTCTTAGAATTACATTCTGCAAAATCTTATAATGTCACGAATTAATCTCAAAGAATCATAAACGCCTTTTTTCAAGATTTACGCATTTCAATTTAGTATTGAATAGTATTATAGTACTTATATTATGAATGAAGGATTTCAAATGAGTAAAAAAAAACGGACTTATTAAAACATTTTGTATTCTTATTGAAACAACGGAATGTCATTCGTATTCACAAATAAAATAAATCATAACATGTTTAAATTTAAGTTTAAGATTTATACAAAATGTTTTGTCAAGATCTAGTCATTTTTTACACATGTAAATTTGTACTTCTAATATGAATAATAGCCTATAGGATTATTATTCAATTTGATGGAATTTCACTATTAATTGAAACGCGTAAATCTTATGGGAAAACGCGTGCGTATAATTTTCTTTTTATAATACAAAAACAGAAAATGCTATTGCAAGTAGGCTACAATAACCGCATAATTATGATCTAAAAAAACGGGAAATAAAATTACATTTAGATTAATTTTAATGTTAAAAACGGACCCATCTTTAAAGAAACATGCCGTTTGAATTAAATTATGCCTACTAAATATTATTAGTCGTGGTTTAGTAAAATTAGGCTACATTTTAAATGTGTTTCTCATTTTGATGTTAAGTGTAAGCGTTGGCCGCTCAGGTTTTATGATCTCGCTCATGACTCTCAGGGTTCAAGACGCGCCGCCGGCACCTGAAATAACGCGCGCGTTCACACGCATGCGGCGCGTCTTCCGCATCCTCTTCCCTGGATTGTTTTGACTGCTTGATCGAGAGCAAAGCGCTACATTTCATCTCTAAATTTAAACCGGAATGGAGTCATTCGAAAACACCGTGATCGGAGGCAGCCGGGGTCATTGACCTTTCCGGGATCACGAACAACACCAGCGGGAGAGAGATATTCTGACATTAAAACAGCATGGGCAAAACTCATCTGCTATCATTAATGACCATAAATATCTGACAGGGCAACACGCACCCCACTACCAACCCATGCGTGTCATATGCACGTAAAAACTGACTTTAGCGTAGACCTATTGCACGATAAACACACTGCGTGCTATAAAGACGCATTTTGGGGCAACATACAACATCATCTGTGATGCCTTAAATAGTTTCGCAAATGCATACAGATTTTATAGGCCTATATAAATAATAATATAATTATAGTTTTTTGTTTATATAATATATGCGTGCGTGGATGTGAAAATGAGCGCGACACAAAATGTTTATTTTTAATATATATGGAGAATCAAAAATTTATAGATCATTTTTGCAAACTTTTATTTTAGATGGGATTAATAGGCTATATAAAACAAATGTAGCTACTAATATTTTTATCTGTTTTTGTCTTCCCACTATAAACAACATTTGAAAAGCGCTTTAATTTTGGCACAGTATTATGTATGGTTGTCATGGGCTGAACTTGTACATATGTATGAAGTATCGCCTCTGAAGTTAATTGTGTTTTCGTTACAGCGGAGAATAGATTTCCTCTGTTTATTATAAGCATAAGGACGGATTTGCGTCACCGCGCGACTTGCGAGTTGAGATAAAGTTGCACAAATATTGAAAAAAGGAAGTGCTAACAGTCATTATAGAGTTCCACCTCTGCGAGCCGGAGGAAATAAGGGTCCTCTGCTGTATCCTAAAATACTAAAGCATCTTCTATTTCTGGCCTAAATCTAGCAGGAATATCCGCTCATTTAGCCTGAATCACAGCTCATCAAAAACAGGATGAGTCGCGTCGAGAAACTCCCAGAACACACTCGAGGAGAAGACTGTTATGATTGTGGAGCATTCGAGTTTCAGAGTTTGTTGTTTGCATATTTATTAAACAAAAAAAATATATATTATTATTAAGAAAAAAACTGATATTGATTGCAAAACTCGTTATTAATTTGAATGCATGACATATTTAATGTGTTTCTAAAATCATAATAAAAAAACGATATATATATTATGCATCCCATGTAAACTAAAACTTATTTGCTAATATATCGAGACTTAAGTATTTATTTGCATATACACCCATTTAATAAATCGTTGCCTACATCTTCACGTGCAATATCCAAGTATTGCGATTTAATTCCAATGGTTGCATGTTTTGCGCATTAATAATGGTTGGTTTTTAATGGACGTGCTCTCGGTCAAACTCATATTCTGTGGGGCGTGTTGAACACTTCTGTCAACTTCCATTGGCTCAGAGAGAGCCAATCAATAACAGAAGCTCGGACTCCTGTGTGGAGTTTCATACTCGATGAGGAACGCGAGAGAGAGTTCAACTCTTTAAACTCGACTGTGCATGAGCATTTCTGTCAGGAAGGTTTGGCTTCTCCTGCCGGGATGTACACGACGGGACTCAACCCGTTTTACGCATCGAACTTTAGCCTTTGGACCGCGTACTGTTCGGGTGGCTTTGGGGTGGATAGCATGAAAAAGCCCTCGTTCTGCATTGCCGATATTCTGCACGTCGGAGATGCGGAAAATATCCCCGGTTCATCGTCGCTTATGGCTCACATTGGGGCGCGCGCGTCCGGGTCTCCCCTGCGCCCGTCCCCGGTCACTCCAGACGCGCGCGCGTATCACCGGCACGGAATACACTTGACATCAGTGTCCAGATCCCCCATGCACGCGCATTCCGCGCCCCCGCCGTCCAGCAAAGACCTCAAGTTCGGGATCGATCGGATATTATCCACAGACTTCGAGCCGAAGGCGAAAGATGCGCCATCGTTGCGAGGTAAGAGTGTTTTTATGAATCTGTTTTGTCGTTTTTGTGAGTGTATCCCATCACACCTCACTTTTGACAAGAGGGCAGAACAATTAGATTAATTTAGACTACAGTGAGCCGCAAGACGCGTCCATCCTAATATCCTATGGCCCTGTTTATGCAATTAATACAATTGGAATTAGTTGAATTGTTTGGTTTTTGTCGTTCTGGAACAGATCTCACATCGATTGTTAGTCTGAATCGGCAGTCAGCAGTCCATGTGTCTGCCAGCCCGTACTTCGCGTCCATAGACGAAACCTCCTCCATGATGGGTTCAATAAGCAGACAATCAGGGCAACATCAGTTTCAGGACTCCTTCCCAGGTAGTGTAGACATCACATCCCAGCTGAGCCCTAAAGAGGGATGAATCTTTAATTCCTGCAGTGTCTTTGAATGCATGTGAATGCGGTGGTTCTTTCGCACATGCACATGTACAGATGATTCAATAACACGCACTCTGGTCAGTGATAAAGTCATCGCATGATGCGTTGGTTGGTCTAAATTGCATTGAAATGCCCGTGTGTTCTAATGGCGCGTGTTTTCTTGCCTCAAACAGGGCCGTATGCGGTGCTTTCCAAAGACACAATGCCTCAGACCTACAAGAGGAAAAGATCCTGGTCCAGAGCCGTGTTCTCCAACCTGCAGAGGAAAGGCCTGGAGAAGCGCTTCGAGATCCAGAAGTACGTCACGAAACCGGACAGAAAACAACTGGCGGCGATGCTGGGCCTCACCGACGCACAGGTGATAGGCTACCTAATAATGACATTTATAGTCAACAATTGAACCGTTCATCAAAGCTATGCATGCATTTTGATTAAAACCCGTTTTAGGACAACTTTTTTGATCCACTTCAAATGTTGACTACTAATTAATTAATTAATTAATTAATTTAAAAAAAAATAACGTTGTTTGAATATCATGAAATAATGAAATTAACTTGAGACCGCACGGGCCATCTGGAGTGCTCGTGGAAAAACTGCAGCATTGCGACACACACATTTCTAGAGAAATGAAAGTCAATCATAACGAATTATTGCAAATAAAGGAGGGGTTCAGTCGTTTCATTTCAAAACAGCCTAATTTAAGACATTGGGCAAGAGTTTCGGTCTTGTTTTATATCGGAAATGACACGAAAACAGCATGAGGAATCCGATAAGAGTTTCAAAACTTTCCAGTAATGTTTGGAAACTGTCTGAATCTCTGCCTTTAAAAAAAAATTCACTTGTGGCATTTCGATCAAAACCTTTTGATTTATGGTTTGTGCATGCATTTTGTGTTAGCTATAATTGTGTGGCCTATAGTAGCTAGATGTAAATGCAATTAATGCACGTTGATCTTTTAATTGTTAATCACTAAAACATCAAAAATGCATGCAATAAATAATAATAATATTAATAGGCTACATACAATTAAACATTAATTGGCTAATAGTTTTGGTTCATATTTTTAAACCCAATAGCCTAATGCATATTTGATCCAAATATGAGTTAAAACAACCCATAGTTTTTATAGTGTATAATATATTTGTATTAAAATAACTTTATTCTATAGCTGCTAAAACCAAAACAATCTGTTATTTTAATTCAGTATTATCATTGTAAAGCTGCTTTGAAACGATTCTTAAAAGCGCTTATAAATTAAAGTGACATAAATCCATTCATCAAATATTCTTGCAGAGCTAATAATTATTATAACCTTGTTTTAGGTAAAAGTTTGGTTCCAGAACCGGCGGATGAAATGGAGGCATTCCAAAGAAGCGCAGGCGCAGAAGGACAAAGAGAAAGAACCGGATAAATCCACCGAGACCGAGCAGAAGGAGCGCGACGACTCCGAGTGCGAAAGCGAACCGAGCGAGTCCGAATTCGAAGATAATACGGAGGACAAAAGCGACGTGGACATTTCTGACCTCAACAAAGCCAGTGTGATTATTCCCGGAGCTCCGACTGTCAGCACGCAGGACACAACCAGCACACACTCCACGACAGAACCGAGTCCAGCCACACGAGTCCTGCCGGAACCGAGTCATCTGATGTGAACAGCTCAAACAATCGAGTAGGCCTACTGCCGGAACCGAGTCATCTGATGTGAACAAACAAACGAGCCTGCCAGGACCGAGTCATCTGAAGTGAACACCACAACAACACACAGCGTCTGACGGGACAGAGACAAATACAGCTCACACACTCACACACACACACACACGCGCGCGCAGGCCTTATCGGTTCATCATGTCTTCCATCGTGAAACAGACCCTTCGTGATCCCCGAGGAAGGAAAGCATCGCTCTGCTTTAACCGAATCGCTCGTCTTTTTTTAATGACGATTTGGGAATCGAATGTTCATGAATTGAGACTTGATTGTATTATATTTTGTCTGTAAGTATTTGCACTGAAAATGTAAATAAACATTTGTTACTAATATTCTAAGTGTAGCCTATTTATGGAAATTCAATAACATCTCAAATTAAATAGGCTAACGATTAACCGAGTATAAAAACAGCGAATGCGTTTACAATTTCGTCACTTTTTAAATAGCTATTGTTAAAAAAAAAATATCGCACAATTATAATATCGCCTACATTATTATTAATCTGATTCTTATTTACATTGTGTTAGCCTATATCAAGCATTTCATTCGCGAGGAACACATTTCTCACTAATGATTGACGAATGTCGAATGGCAACATTGCATAATTTACGACGAAGACATTTTCACAAGTTTGCATAGATTAAACATCGAAATTGTGAAAGTTTTAAATTAATTTAAAACTTAAGATAAGAGCAGGTTTTGTTTATTGCAATAGTGAATTCTGTCATCCAAATTAAAGATTCAAAGCATCATATAGGTGTAAGCAAACAACAGAAAACAATAAAACCCCAGTTACATGCATTAATAAAAACGAGGAAGGCTGTTTTAATCCTTATTTATTCATTTTTTAACAATAAGGCTATATATGAAGAGTTCAGATGCAAAAGCCTCTAAGTGCCATTTGAAATTTTCTTCTAGAATGATCATTTTTATCAAGCTTGTATATTTAAGTTCAGCAATTTCACTTATGCAATATATTATTGTCATTAATGAAATTACTGAACTTGAATATATAAGCTTGATATTTTAATTTCAATGGCATTTAGAGGCTTTGCATCTGAATCATATATATATATATATATATATATATATATATATATATATATATATATTCGTTGCTTACCTTTTATCATTTATTTTTGGGTAAAATATGGACAAACCCAAACGTTAGATTGAAAATAACCCAATATAAACCAGGCTGGGTTTGTCCATTTCACCCAAAATAAAATAACCCAGCATTTTAGAGTGTTTAGATTTAACTGCAAGCAATTAAATGTTCACAGAAAAAATACAATAAATCTAAATTACTTTAACACAAAAATATTATTTAATTTCACTGTATTCTAATGAAGGAGTTCAATCATGTAGAAATAGCTCTTTTAGGTACAGTATAATCCAGATATGCATCTCGTTTGATAGTTTTCCGTGTGTGTGTGTGTGTGTAACGTTGACATCATAAGGCTGTGATGGATGCTGAAAGCGTCGTCTTTTGGCCTTTTTTGAGTCAGGTTAATGTAATTCTGCCAAGGCTTTTCGCCCTTTAAAAAAATGTGAGCTGGGTGAAATTTGGCGTCCAACAATAAACAGAGCCTGGATTTATAGTTTGTATACATTCGCTGGCTCCAGATATCAGCAAGAGAGCGGATGAGTGTGTTTTATGAATGTAGGTTCAGATCTGCGCATCAAAAACTACTCCATTTATGGACTCTGGCTGTCTAAGATACACTTCACATGCCATGTAATGAGGCGCGCTGCGTAATGTCAGGCTGAAACTATTCCAGGATTTACACAATAATCCATCCAGAGATATTAGAGCTTCGTGACATTACTATTAGTGTGTATTTTACATCTTCAGATGAGTTATTAAACGTTCAAGTATTGCAAAAAAAGGGTTTCTCTAGTCTGGACACATGGTTTATTGAACCTCACGGCCTTTGATAAAGAGACAGGCGGTTTACATGAGTTTGTGATAACAGAGAGTTTATGCAGTTTAATGAGTTCTGTTCATAAACTGATAAGCGCAGCTACTGCAGGATGAACATTCATAAATACCATATTCATATTAACGATATTAACGGTTCTAGTGTTCAAGTTTATAAGCAAGCACAGGCCTGCTGAGGGCATTAGTGTCTGTGAGAAGAATTAGGATTTAAAAGACATGGACAAAATCATAGTTTTGAATAGTGTGTGTGTGTGTGAGATCATGTGTGTCTCGTTACTGTGAGGAGGACTGCGAAAAATTTCAGTAAATACAGTATACACACACACACTTACTCTCACATACACAAACACACACTCATTCTCTCTCTCTCACACACATTACTTATATTGTGTGGGTATGTGCAAGTGAAACTCAAAAAATGTTAATATGGTGCAAAAGTTCATTTATTTCAGTAATTCAAATTAAAGGTGAAACTAGATTACATGCAAAGTGATATTTCAAGCGTTTATTTGTTATAATTGTGATGATTATGGCTTACAGATATGAAAACCTTTATAATATTCTAATTTTGAATTTGGGTGTTTCAAGCTGTGAGCCATAATCATCAAAATTATAACAAATAAAGGCTTGAAATATCTCACTTTGCATTTATAAGTTTCCCCTTTTAAGTTGAATTACTGAAATAAATTAACTTTTGCACGATATTCTAATTTTTCAAGTTTTCCCTGTATGCATGTACACACACACACACACAACCTGTATAGGCTACACCCGCACACACACACGTATTATATAAGCTAATGTAAAACTGAAATTGATTTTTTTTTTTTACTTCTAAAACTTTATTTCCAGGTTAATATAAAAAAGAAATCCCAAATATTTCAACGACGTCTCGGACTTTAACAAACACTAACCCAATCGCACATCATGTCACGTGATTTAAAAGGCTATTGACTTAATAAAGTCATTCATTTGACCAACACACACACACACACACACACACACGGTAAAGCTGAGCTCAGCAGAGGGATCATGATTCACCGAGGACCACCTGAAGCTTCGCTCCGGAAAGAGGGATGACCTCTCCAGATCTCCGGGTTTTCCACTTAAACGCGCATATTGAATTCCGCTTATCCCGCTACCGACGTCACGCGCTCGTTCACGCCGAAACGAGCACGCTCACGTGATTCTTCTATCCACAGACACCGACGGCGCGTTTACAGTGGCGGTTTTAATCATTTTCCGTGAGCAGTATTTCTCTTGCGCGAGCCGCATCATAATGTGCGCATAAATTGTAAAGTGTGTGTGAGCCGCGGTGTCAATCTCACACTCTCCTTCGCGAAGTTGTGAATTACGTTTGTATGCGCAAACATGCAATAACAATAACAGTGCAAAAGCTTAACATAATACTGCAGCTTATGATTTGTGAACTGTCTTCAGAGATTTTATGATCACTGGGAGAAATCCCATCTGGACCAGGATTTAGAGTCAGCCGCTCCTCAGTGTTTAAAGAGCCAGTCGAGCATCCGTCTGACCCCGACACACACACACACACACACACATACACACTCTCACTCACTCACTCACTCACTCACATTCTCTCTCTCTCACACACACACACACACTTTCTCACTCTCTTTCACACTCACTCACACACTGACTCACACACTCACTGACTGACTCTCTCACTCACTCACACACACTTTCTCACTCCCTCACTCACACACAAACACATGCAAACTTTCTCACTCACTCACACACACTCACATACACATGCACACTTTCTCACTCACACGCACACTTTCTCACTCACACACACTCACACACACACAGCCCATACAATGTATTTGAGAATATCAGGAAGCATTAACCTCTGATTATATATTAGTCAAGTCAAGTGTCATTCTGCTGTTTAGACACAGTATAATGTTGTGCTCTGTGTGTGTGTGTGTGTGTGTGAGACTACAGCTATAGGTTTTATTTTACTATGTAAAAAATGCGTTGAAAAACAGAAAGCTGACAGGAGAAAGCAAACACTGATGAACATTCGGATGTTCAAAAACATTGACCAATCAGAAGATCAGCTGTGTTCATAAATTCATGAGGATCATCATCAGGTTCATGTCAAATAGCCTCAGGATCCTGAGAACAAGTAGGCTATATTTCATGTTGAAAGTGTGTGTGTGTTAATAAAATGTGTGTGAATTGTTTAGCATTATGCTGCTGATCCAGACAGCAGATCAAAGATCCTTCACTGTTTTATTGGAGCGTTCTTCAGTGATGAGTGACCTCCGTTACATCAGATCATCAGTGTCGGCCAATCACACAGCCCCGCACCAGGACAAACACACATTACTCCAAGTGAGTGTGAGTGTGTGTGAGAGAGAGAGTGTGTGTGGGGGTGAGTTAGTGAGTGAGTGAGTGAGTGAGAGAGCGTGTTAGTGTGTGTGAGAGAGTAGGCTATGTGTGAGTGTATGAGTGTGTGTGAGGGTGAGAGAGAGAGAGAGAGAGAGAGAGAGAGAGTGTATGTGTGTGTGAGTCTTTGAAAGTGTGTTAGTGTGTGAGAGAGAGAGTAGTCTGTGTGTGCGTGTGTGTGTGAGTGTGTGTGTGTGTGAGTCTTTGAAAGTGTGTTAGTGTGTGAGAGAGAGAGTAGTCTGTGTGTGCGTGTGTGTGTGAGTGTGTGTGTGTGTGAGTCTTTGAAAGTGTGTTAGTGTGTGAGAGAGAGAGTAGTCTGTGTGTGCGTGTGTATGTGAGTGTGTGTGTGTGTGAGTGAGAAAGTTTGTGTGTGTGTGTGTGTGTGTGAGTGAGTGAGAGAGTCAGTCAGTGAGTGTGTGATTGAGTGTGAAAGAGAGTGAGAAAGTGTGTGTGTGTGTGTGTGAGAGAGAGAGAGAATGTGTGAGAGTGAGTAGGCTGTGTGTGTGTGTGTGTGTGTGTGTGAGTGAGAAAGTTTGCGTGTTTGTGTGTGAGTGAGGGAGTGAGTGAGAAAGTGTGTGTGTGTTTGAGTGAGTGAGAAAGTGTGCGATGTGTGTGATTGTGTGTGTGTGTGTGTGTGTGTGATTGTGTGTGTGTGAGAGTGAGAAAGTGTGTGTGTGTGTTTGTATGTGTGTGTGAGCGAGTGAGAAAGTGTGTGTGTGATTGTGTGTGTGAGAGTGAGAAAGTGTGTGTGTGTGTGTGTGTGCGCGAGTGAGTGAGAAAGTGTGTGTGTGTGTGTGTTTGTGTGTGTAAGTGTGTGTGTGTGAGAGAGTGAGTGAGAGAGTCTGTCAGTGAGTGTGTGAGTCAGTGTGTGAGTGAGAAAGAAAGTGTGCGGTGTGTGTGATTGTGTATGTGAGAAACTGTGCATGTGTGTGTGATTGTGTGCGAGTGTGTATGTGTGAGTGAATGTGAGGTGAG